TAATATTCATACATATAATAATAAATATAATATAGATATAAGTATAGTGGACAACCCAAATGAGAGATTCGGTTTATAAATCTCCCCCTTCTGCAATCTGGTTTCATGCAACCAGCATGTTACCTCTTATGTGTATATAGTATATATATATTGAAACAATGTAACCCCCGACATTATTTTCTATAGTTGCAGCGCCAGTGTATACGTATATATAATCGTTATGTATTTAGGCTGTATAATATAKACTGTAAATAAGAATCGTATACGATCGATGCAATTGACAATAACTACCTGCTTTGCGACGCTTTTACTGTGCAACTCTCCAATCCCGGTGTCAGATATGTTGGATGTGAGGTCGCCCAACGGCGCGTACTCTTGAGCGAACACGTAAAAACTGGCCGTCTGGAAAGCCACGTCAAACGTGGATACGATGTTACGGTGTGCGCTCAAGTGATAACTGAAATGGAATTCTCGATAAAAATCCTTAACGGCTGTGTAATTTTTAGGCAACGATTTGAGCACCATCTCGTTATCCGTGCCCCGGTGTTCGACCAGTAATATTTTCCCGAACCATCCTTCACCGACTATTTGCACAATATCAAACGTCTCCACCAAATCTATCTATAAAAATAAAAGGTTTATCATTAGGTTGATTACGATATGTCCTCTCATMTATACTGTAGAATATATTATACCAAATTACTAAATAGTAAATATAATACGATTGATTTATATAATAATTCACGAGTTATATATTGAAATATATATTATATACGAGTTATACAGTAAATATAATATAGCTATATATATAGGTATAAGTTTAAAATATTAGATCCTATATTAGAATAACTAATCTGAAAAAGACGATTTTAAAATGTAAGCTTAGTTATATTGTTATACCAATGTAACTTATATGTTGTGAGTAATATTAGAGCAATATACAGATTTAGCCATTTACAACGTACAGCGTTCTTGATTATTAATTATTGCTAAATTAAATCACATTTAAATATGTGAAAGTACCCATAAAAAAAAAATAAATGGTTTTTCTCAAAGGGTTTATCTCAGTATTGTATCGCAAACTGATAATAGTGATAAGGATAACATATTGTCACTTATATTTACTATTACTATAATATTTATACATATTATATTATTATATATATAAATATTATATAGTATAAATTATGTACATTATATATATATTATTGTGTAATATGTATAATAGGTAAATATTAATATGTAGGTACCTACTATAAAGGTTTCAAATTTTGATTGGTATATTATATTTGAATGTATACCTATAGGTACTATAAACTATTAGGAAATGCGATTATTTTGTATCGCATTCACCACATCCACCAATATAGGTATAGACTGCAGTATAGTTGAATCTAAGGTAGATACCTACTCGTCCTACTCACATTTTTTGGCTAGTAGGATGATAGATATGATGTGTCATGAATTATAATAATATTAAGTTCACTGTAAAAGCATCTTCTGAGTTTGATAAATGAATCATWTTTATCTTTATACCRATGCTTTAGAATTATATGATAATTACATTATAATTAAATTAACAGGAAGAGGTAGATGCCTAGGTAAATTGGAGATTAGGATCTAATTTTTATAAAAACATTATAGAACCACAAAATAGTTTAATTTTAATATTAAACATTCAAACAATTAATCAACATAAATAAGTAGTGGATAACTATATTAAATACCTATGAACATACAATAAGCAGGTACATAAATAACCATAATATTTATAATATTTACCTTTTCCAATTCAAATTCTCGGATTTTAGATACGTTTCCTGCTTGTTTTAATTTTCTTGACACACCACCAGATTTACGTTCAAACTTAAATTGACTTTGTGACATGGTTCATATAATTTCACATATTAAACAGTTTGTAATACTAAAATTAATACAAAATTGAAGTACTGCGAACGTCAAATATAATTAATATTTGTTAAACAGAAATGATTCAACACTTTTTAGCTTTTATAATACGTTCGACAATGCAGTATATTTATGTCAGGCTCTATTTTAAGAACAATTATTTCCCCTTCTCCAGTTTTAAAAACAAAAAACAAAACTGAACTGCATCTCTAACATCAATCTGTTTCTGATAAAGATGAAGCAGTTTTAAAAATGAAAAAATGTTATGCTTAATATTTTTCTCACTCATAAGTTGTAATTTTTGTTTTCTTATAATAAAATAGCACAAATATTGTTTCTAACGATACTTTGTCAATCCGACGCGTATAAAATAAAATAAAATAAATATATCAAAAGATGTTCAAATACTACAAGAAACTACAATAATATACTACTAAAGTAAATCGGAATGGTAACACTACACTCGTATAAACACAAAACTAAAATTATAAGAATAAATTATAATATGCCATTTAATATTTAAATAATAATTAGATGAATGGGTTGGTATAAAAACATTATAATTAAAAATAATACCTGTATATTTAGAAGTCCACCGTACACAAGCTGTAGTCAAAAAGAATTTTAAGCGTTTGAAATAATAAAAAAAAAAAACTTTGGTTGGGTACAAAAGCATCCAAAAAAATCCAAAACATTCAAAATTCATAGTCAGCTACAGATTTCTGATTGGCCCACCAGCATAATTGGAAAGTTTCCGGTGGGCTGATCCTCGTATTAAAACTGTGGGCCGATGTTCTTGGATTACAAATTATTTGATAATTTTTAACTACGTGTGTCTAAGTTTTTTGTATATTCGTATCACAACTTTGGATGCCTCTTTGGTTGTACTATATAGTAGCTATTTATGACTTTATAATATCAGWTAATTAATCATTCAAAATWTTTTTWAAATATGTTTTAATATTTTATATTCTGAGCGGAGCGATTCGTTTAGCCATAATTGCATATTTTCTGACAGCTAATAGCTATACCCTGCTAGGACAGCCTTGACACAAAATAGGGAGGCGGAGGATGCTATATATTTATATTAAATKATTATAGAAAATTTGATAAACAACACAAGCAATTGAAAATTGGACTCCGAAACTTCCGACGCTTTGCTCAAGCTAGTGGAATCAAACTTGTCAGATATATTTGTTTTATTTAGCTAAGAGAGTTAATACTTAATATTCAATACAAAATTATTATAAATATTATAATATAGGTATGCAGTATGCATAATGCACAATAAGTATAGCTATGTAATAGGTATACCTATGGCCTATGGGCTATGGTTAAAATATGGAGGAAGTAAATTATAATATATGGGAGTTACATGAATATATATATTATTAAAAAGCCACCCGTTATTCATCAATGACACGTGGTTTGAGATAAATATCGATGTACCTATATCTAAGGTTAAAAAAATTTAAATCTAAATATCACGGCATCACTTCCACTTAAGTCGGCATTACTCGGCAACAAGGATTTAACTAACGCCGTAATGGATAGGTACCTGGGTAACTACTGCTGTGTGTCTATACTATCTATAATCTATAAAAAAGCATTTCTGTCTTTTGTCCATTATGCATTCTTTTTATATTATGTTAGTAATTTATTAGTGGATATCTACTAGAGTGCATAGTTATTTCCTTGTGAATCAAAATTGAATTTTAAAAAATTCATTCAGCTATATAATATAGCGGGCATACCTCAAATCGAAAATACATAGGTAGTCACAATTTTCCTTGTACTTTTCATAATTGTAGAAAAAATAAGGAAACAAATACTTGAGTTCATCGGAAATATTTATGCAACAATGTACCTAATTTTTACCTATTATTTACCTAAATGCTTAAATACTTAATAAACAAAGGTTAATGGTTATGGTATCATAATAACATGAGTTATTAGTAGTCCTGTGAGTATAAGTCCCCACAGTAAATCTCGTTACAGATGCATTTTATTTATAGCTACTACACTACTTCAATGCTACACTTAGATAACCTTAATTTTTAATAAATATAATAGAATAATTATGAACAATAATAGAAAAGAATACAGAATATATATCAAATATTTGAAACATAATTTGAGATACTTATTTTAAAACGTGAAATGATAAAAAATCGAGTGAAAACGGTCTCTAAATTATAGTCAACTTTTGTTGTTCGTTTTTGGAGATCAAGATGAAAAAATATTATGTATAGGTGGTGCGGAATGTTTAGAATTTATTTGAAATTAAAAAATACAAGAGAATAGATTAAAGTTAATACTAAGTAATGATATTTTAGAATCTTAAATAATGGAAAAAGCGAAATGAACATGAATTTATTTAATCAAAAGCAGATATTCATGATAAAAACTATTTTAATTTTAAAATTTTGGAAAATATTWAAAACGATAAGGAATGTCTAGGTGAAGCCGAACAATGAACATAGAGGAATCTATTATATAGTTAGTAAGTATTAAATTGTTTATTTATCATTTAAAAATATAAATAATAAATGTATGATATTAAAACAAAAAATAGACAACTAATACTAATTAACTCGTGGACTGATAAGGCACATAGATATGTTATGGYAAGATAAGAAATTCAATTATAATTTAATTTTACAGATTTTTATGAAGTTTTTATTATAAATATTCATAATAGGTAGAACATTCAAATTTCACATAGAAGCATATTATACTAAACAGTAATTATATTTGAATAGCCAAACAAATATTATTTTTTTCAATTTTTAAAGAGTACCCCATGAATATAAAATAATTTTAGTAACATGAAAATAATAAATACAAACTTTAATTACTGTTAACCATATAGGAACTTTTAATTTAATACACATAAAAATGATGTAAAATGTAAATGCTTAAAAGTAAATATTAAAAATAATACAAATTTGTCCACATAATGGTTTTAAAAATATTGCCGCTTTAATAATTGTGATAAGTACATATAACATTTATATATTATAAATTATTGCAAAATATAGAGATCAACCATGGTGATGGGAATGGTGGGAAGAAATGGGTATGTTTACAATGTTTAATATTCAATTTGATATACTTATATTTTTAATATTATCAACATTTTTAACACTTGTGGCATCTTTATTTTCAGATTTTTCATCTTTACTACAATTTTCTTCATTCTCATCATTATTACTATGCACTGTTGACGTTAAATCTCGTTTATCTCTTTTTGTCTCTATTTTGGTTTTATTAGGTCTGTTAGCTTCTTTCAATACTAATGGTAAAGGTACCTGCTCTTTAACTAATTTGCTTTTTTTTTCATCTAAAGATATATGATTTTTTTTAATTTCTTGTTTATTTGTATTTATATTATTGGTGTTTACATCCTTTACATTGTTAACAAGTTTTTTTTTATTTTTTTCAAACTGAACTTGACGAGCTCCTTTTAATTCTTCCAAAATTTGTTTGGATTCAGCTAATATTTTTTTCTCTTCTTTTTCGTGACTTCTTAACTTTTCTAGTAATTCTATTTCAGGTCTTTTTTCTAATTCTTCATCCTCTTTGTTAATTGCATCTTTACTAATAGTATTTCCATTATCTACTTTTACTGATTTTTCTTGTCTTACTTCAACATCATTTGCTTTTATAATAGGTTCCACAGGAATAGGAGGTTCAACTCTTATCTCTTCGGATGTTTTCAGTTTCGGATTTATACGTTCATTATGTATATCCAACGGTTTAAAAATCAATGATTCAGCTTCTATAACACAGTTTTTTTATATTAAAATATGAAAAATATTTGATTTTAATAGAAATGTCATTCAATATGTAAGCCATGGTATATAATATTATAATTATAATTATAATTTAATAAAAATTTATATTTTAGAATTAAACCATGCCACACTACTTTGATATATTCCTCCACAAAGAAAATAAATATGTTTTTTTATTAAAAAATAGGGATGGGGAGATTTCACTTTTACTGATATCTGATACGCTGATGTATGCTACGGATAAAAGACACAAATTTTTGGCACAAATCATAATACACACATAATATACGATACACAGATATCAGCTATAGTACTGCTTATCAATAAATCTATACA